GCACACAAGGCGCCTCTTATATATTTTTTCCACACAAAATCACCATTCATCACGATAAAATCCACACTTGTGAGTGCGATTGTGATCATCATATACAAAGAAATAGTCTCAGACAACGTCCCAACTCAGACACCCTCAGGGGTATAACATCCCAACTTCGGCGAACAAATATAGTCTTGAGTTACTCGTATACTTTTAAAGTCGAATACTCTCGACTTAAATCGACACCAATATCACACAAAGGATGTCCTCCCTTCCTGCGAAAGCCTTTAAACTAAAGCAGGTCCACATAGGGAGTAATTGCACCCCTCACCTGTAAAAAAAAGATATGTATAACTCAAGACATACCTAAATTTCGAATGACCCAAGACTTATCATGCCCCGATGGGTTGTAAGTTCACAACAGCCTCGAGTCAAAGCGCCGCTTATACTCTTTCCTCATATCTCGTCGCCGCACCCTCGAGGTCCTAAAGCCACTAGGATCCAAACTCAAATCCTACCAAACCTCCATGCATACCCTATTCACAAGCGCATGGGTACATATACCTTTATAATTTAGGGTAGTGCGGCCAAGAGCGAGTTCAACCCCCAAGCACAATCATTTTACTTTGAACCTTTTGGGTGATATCCTTAAAGTACTTGCCTAAGAGAGCCAACTACCATGATCAAGCTAAATCAGTGCTCCTCAACCTAGATCGCATCCTCACACGGTCTCTTAGCACAACATACTACTTACACTCATGGCCCACTCTCACATTTTGATCGCGCTATAGCCAATTCTACCCTTAAGCAGTCATAAGAACCTGAAAGATACTTACCCCATCTACCTTAAGGTCTCTCTAGGACCCCATATACACTCACAACCCCCAGTGTATACACCTTTCCCAACTTATTTAGTATACAGTCAGATCCTTGTCGGCTAAAATATGAGGCCTGGGACCACACAATCAACCACCGCACTAACCTACTCCCACATTCACATATATAAGATCCAATTTATTATAGTAAACCAACCCAAAGCGGTCCAGGACTATCCCTTGACTGATTGCTCCTTGGCTCACGAGTTAGACTTCCCTCGCACTACTATATTCTCTCTAACCCCACCTCCTTTCATCACCTCTGTACATCTTCCAGCCACCCTATTCTCCCTTTTGCATTCCCTTGGTCGCCTTTCCTACCCGACTACCGTTCAACTGCTGCTTGTCATGCCTTTTTCTTCCCCACATCCCCCTTATGGTTCCGCTGGCGTCCATCGCACCCTCTAGTGCCTCCTCTGCCTCTACCTTGCCCTCTCTTGTCGCGCCCTCCATCCCCGCGGCCTCTTCCAGCTTCCCGCCTCTGGCTTTCTGCACCGGCCATGTCGCCTTGTCGCATTCGCTGTGTCGGTGGCTGCAACAGTCCCATAGGCAGAGCCGGCCGGATCTGGACTGCGGGAGGCCTAGGCGGCATCATACTTATTTGTGGGCCCAAACAAAAGCCTTGCATCCAGGGCAGATATGAATTATATATAGGCCTTGGTCCCACTTGACCATATGATGTCCACAGCCCGTATAACGCCCGCTCAATCGGTGGAGGCCCCGCCTGTGCTGGCTTGCCTCTCAATTCTTGCGGGGTGGGCCCTCCCTGCCGCATGCCCTGCCCCTTTTCGGTACCTTGGCCTCCCTGGGCCCAATTCCTTGCCTTCCGCTAAGCCTTTGTTAACTTGGGAGGTTCAGGCTTCCCTTTTCCTCCCGTCACACCCTTTTCTTTAGTTCCTTGAGGGGTACGACCAGTCTTTCCCCAACAACCACTTACCACCTTTGCCCAGTGCTTTGGCCACCACTCACTCCTTCGCCCCTTCCGACTCGCAGCTCAAAATGTTTCCGCGTTGATGAGCCCCCTCTTCGGATCAGGCGCAATGCCAGGCAAGGTCATACTAGATCCCAGCTCCTCTTTTACCTCATTGAACCCCTCGCCTTCGCCTCGTTCCGTGTCGCAGGCTCGCCCCTTCGCGGTTCCTTTGTGGAGGAGTAATTCCTCATGATCCCCTCCTGTTTCTGCTTTATCTTGCCTAGCCGGCCCACTCGATGTTTCTTCAGAGGCCTTCCTCTTGCCACGCCTGGCTTCTTCTAATCTCGTTAACCTCTCTTCCAACATCCCCACTTGCCTCTGTATACCGCTCAACTTTTCTTGTGTTGACGCAACCCCAACTGGTTGCTCAAGGCTTCCACCAAGCTGGCCTTCCGCTCCACCCTCCGGAAATCTCAACTTTAGAGAACTTTCCACCTCATCCCAGGTATGCGACTTTAGCATAAGGGCATCCACCTCCTCACTCAGCTCTTCGCAGACAAACAGTGGCAACATGCTCCACATCGCCTTTTCGTCCCACCTCTTCATGAGACTGAAGTCATGATAGCCGCGTAGTAAGGCAAACAAATTTCTTCCCTGAAACAGCAGGGCGCAGAGTTCTGGGGGCATTGAGTCACTCACTGACTCGCACAACAACACTTTACTGAGGCACGTACTCCTCCAGGATAGGATTTTGGCGAAACCGCTCTCTTCAGCCATGATGCTGGTACCGGCCTGACACGCATGACAAGCAGTCGACCATCAGGTTGGGGTGCAAGGCAGCTTAAAACAACAGGACTAGTAAAAATTGATTACTACCCGTCCCCCACCAACCCTCTTCCCATTTATACAATATGGCCCTAACGTTAGGTAGAGGGTTCTATAAACAATATACCTCCCACATAGGGAGAGCCCTCGAAGCCAATCTTAGGCAGACAGCAAACGAGGCTACCAATGTTACTGATCCCTGTACTCGTATCATAGACGAGGCTCCCCCTCACGTCCTAACCGACCTACCCATGGTCTTAGACACCTGGTCTAAGGAAAAAACCTGTCCGGGCTAACTTGGAGCCTCTCAGGATCCGTTATATACACCTCACGCACAAGAATGCATCTATACATGCCTCGCAACTCATCTGACACATCTTGCCAACTAACACATAGGGGTTCAGTTTACACAACTGATTGGCCTGCCATCCTAACTCTCATATCCACTCACATGTTCAAGTCCATAAGTGACATACTCCGACAGGATACAAGGGCACCCTCTACCGGCCAACTGCTACACGGACCTCATTCCAGTCTACAGCCTCCCCATCGGGATCATGGGAGCTTGCATACGCATCAACCACCTTGGCCACGTCCCAGAGTCCTTGGCTACCGGGCAAAAGCCTCTGATCCAGATACAGGCCATATATCAATTCACACGTGTATCACATATAACCCCATTCGCGTGCCTTCACAGTGGCTTCTACAGCGGCTTCCACTCTTGCCTGTCCCCTAAATCTTTCTTCTACGAAGACCTCTGGCAGGGTAACTCGTAATGGGGCTGAGGGAAGTGCAAACTCTTTCGCGTGTTTGACCTCTACCTCGATCACCACCTGCTCTCCCCTTTCCTGGACCCTGCCTCTTGCCCATTTTGCGACGGCTGCCTCAACTATTCTCAACGGTCCCGCGAGTACGCTTTCATGCCCAAGTGCCAACTCTATCCCATGTAAGACCCAGAATGATGGCAACGCGTACAACGTCACCCTCACAATCGCACATTCTTCATCATCATCAAAACCAGACTCGATCCAGATGAAGATACCCCTGCCTATCAGAGCGCCCCACCAGGAAGAGATACACTCTTCTTCCTTGACTCTCCTCGACAAGGATACCTTGAGTCCTTCTTCCCTTTTAATAGGCAAGGCCACACTGGGATCTTCCCTAGCATAAGGCATCCTGAGCGGCATGGCATCGTCTGTACCTTGCGATCATGCCATGGCACGATGGCATGATGGCAAAGGGCATCATGCCATCCTGCCATGGCATGGCATTACCATGTTCCATCATGGCATGGCATCGTATGGACCTTGCCATCATACCATGGCATGGCATGGCTATGTTCCATCATGGCATGGCATGCCATTGCATGATGGCAAGGTCCAGTCTCCTTGAGCCGTGTTCATCATGCCACGGCATGACATTGTCTGGACCTTGCCACCATGCCATGCAATGATGGCAAGGTCCAGTCTTCGTGAGCCGTGTTCATCATGCCATGGCACGATGGTATGGCGGCAAGGGGCATCATGCCATCCTGCCATGGCATGGTATGACTATGTTCCATTATGGCATGGCATTGTCTGGACCTTGCCATCATGCCTCCTCATGCCATGTCGGGTCCAGTATCCCGGCGCCGTGTTCATAATGCCATGACATGGCATTGTCTGGATCTTGCCATCATGCCATGGCGTGATGGCATGATGGCAAGGGGCATCATGCCATCATGCCATGCCATGGCATCGCCATGTTCCATCATGTCATGGGATCGTGTGGACCTTGCCACCACACCATGGCATGCCATGTCGAGTCCTGTCTCCCGGAGCCGTTGGACCTTGCCATCATGCCATGGCATGGCCCAGCGTTGCGGAGACGGCAGACCATAGCGTGGCATGGTCCGGCGTCCTGGAGCCGCCGGACCATGCCATGCTATGGTCTGGCGTCGCGGAGGCGCCAGACCATAGAATGGCATGGTCCGACATCCTGGAGCCGCCGGACCATGCCATGCTATGGTCTGGCGTCGTGGAGACGCCGGACCATACGACAGCATGCTCCGGAGTCCCGAAGCCGCCGGACCATGCCATGCTATGGTCTGGTGTCGTGGAGGCGCCGGACCATACGACGGTATGGTCCGGAGTCCCGGAGCCAGTGGAGCATGGCACGCTATGGTCTCACGTAGTGGAGGCGACGGGCTTTACCATGGCATGGTCCGGAGTCCCAGAGCCGCTAGACCATGCCATGGCATGGTCCGCCGTTCCAGCGGCTATGAACCATGTCATGGCATCGCCCGCCGTTCGCCGTCCCGAAACGCCGTGCACATGCCATTAGGTGTTGCGCAACGCCTTTGGGACACTGCCCCACACCATTGCACGGTTCCCCTTGGCACGAAGGGAACGAAAACATGGACGTGGAACGACGATAGGTAGATACACAGCACCCCTTCGAGAACAAGACATTTTCTTCCGACGAATGGAAAAGAACGCTGATGTGGAACGACGAAAGCTTCGTAATGCCATGGAATCAAACGGTCACCCCGCCTTTTTCCAAAAAAAAAGGAACTGCCGAACACCAACATAAAAAAAACAATGGCTTTTTAAAAAAACAAAAGACCTTTCCCCCCCAAAAAAAAAACTTTCCGAACTAAAAAAAGGCCTTTAAGGAGGGAGCGATGGCCTTGCACTGAGGGACGTAAAAGTGAGTAGTAGTGCGTAAAAGTGAGGGACGGATGGAGGGCCTTGAGGAAAGGAGGGAGGGCCTTCAGGGGTGTATAAGTGCGGGGGGGATGAAGGGTTGTTCGACAAGTCCTGTGTACAGGACAGGCGTGCAGTAGGACCGATGCCTTGAGGGGCTGAAAAGTGGCAGGTGAATAAACCTCACCTTCTCGAAGGTGACGACACCTTTGTGTCCGCCTGCTGCCGCGCGAAGGCCCCTGAACAACTGCAGAGGTTCGCAGGCACCCTGTTTGCTGTTCAAAAGGCTGCTCGAAGGCACCGTTGTCGGTGCGAATACCCTTACAAGGGTATCCGCTCTGGTTTTTGCAAGCGACAGAAAATAGTTTGGTTTAAAGTCTAAGTATACCGTGCTAGGCGCGGCGGCGTCTGTGATTTATGTTGACTGGATGGTTGACTAGAGTAAAGAGTGCGTGGGCGCGCAGGTTTAAGGCGCGCGTGATTCATCCCCTGATGTTGATTACGATCTGGTTATTTTTATTTTTATCTTTAAGTTTTATTTTTTGTAACTCCTGATTAAACTAGGATCTAGGGGGATATTTTCTTTTGATGGCTATATTGACCGAGTCGAGCGCGCATGCGGAAAACGACCCCGACGACGGCATCGGCAACGGCGGCCCGACTTCGTGCGGTGAGCGGGGTGTCGTAGTATGGTGCGCGGGGCAATTATGGCACGATATAAGCAAGCCGGTGCGGACACTGGGAGGCGCGCAGCCGGTTTGTTCGCCCAAAGCGCTGCGTCGCACTGCCTTGTATGGTACTCTGCGGACGATGGTCTCAGGTTTGGGCATAGCCCTATAGGTAACGACAACAGACTGTTACTATGGAGGTTCGGGGATCGAGGCTAGAGGGCGTCGGCGCGGCGGCAACGGAGTAGCGTGGAGCGAAAGCATGAGGGGTTGAGGGCCCTGTGGGGCTATCCCCCTCGGTTTTGCTTATGGGTGCGGTGGCGGGCCCAATCTGCAGGATTGGCGTGGTGCTAGCAGCCCCGCGGCTCCTCGACGGTAATTTTAATTTTTTCCTTTTATTTATTGTTCTTGGTCCCTTTGCTATCGCATCCCGTTTTAGGACGCGAGACGACGGTAGGGTCGCGTGGGTTATGCTGTATTCGCATATGCCTCAAAATGCAATTGCATTTCGTTTTCACGATTGCAACCCGTAGGACCGCATCAAGACTCTGTGGGGTGTCCACCCATCGATTGCGGGAGCTCTGCCAGAGCCTAGGCAAGGCTCTGGAGGCAGGGAATTGACAGGTAACCTTTGCATTTCCCCCCCCTATACACCAAACTATAACCCCTACCTGTTCTCCCATTGCATCGATGACTGAATATATGATGTGCAGCCCTACTCTATTTTTGGTTTGAATTTCAGGACACTAAATAAGACTAAGTAAAAGAATGTCTGTTCAAGTTTCAGTTTCAACTTTATTGACTGTGTGAATTCAGACTGTTGAAAAGAACTGCATCAGGGGAAAGGCAGGATTGGGGTTTGTGTGGTTGAGGGTTGAATGGGCCATCAACGCTGGGAAGTCCCCATAAGTTTGGGGAGACCCAGTGCTTTGTTTCTTTTGGTTTTGATTGGAGCGTCAGACCCTTCTATAAGTTTAGGGGGCCTGATTGCTTTGGAGGCTGGGATGTCTTTATAAGTTTGGGGAGACCCGATGTTGTGGTTTGAATGGAGGGTTGGGCCGCTCTATAAGTTTAGGTGGCCTGACTGCTCTGACTTGCGAGGGTTTGATTGTGTTCGATTTTCAGGGACTCAGGGCATTCAATAAATTTTGGTGCCTTGGGCTGCCTTGTTTTTATTGGGGTTCTATCTATTTTTTTGGTTTTTGAACGAGGAGACCGAGCTTCTGTAAGTTCAGGTGACTCAGTCTCTTCTTGCTTTTATTATGAAGAAGTAGTCTTGGCAAAGGGCAGACCCTTCTGTAAGTTCAGGGGGTCTGGCTCAATGCCACGCACATGATGATTCAAAGAGAAATGGAGTTGGCAGAGAGTTAGACCCTTCTGTAAGTTCAGGGGTTCTGGCTCGAAGCCTCGCATATGCTGGAACCCAATGATTATAACTAGGCTATACTTTACTATTATTCTATTTAAGAATGAGCTAATCAGACTGTTCTATAAGTTTAGGTGGTCTGACTATAGCCTATCACAACTTGAAGAGAGTATAACTAAGAATAAAATTAGTGGTAAGTTGGGGCAGGCTGAACTTAAGTTAGTTTAGTCGTATGCAGCCTTAGAAGACAAAGGGGAAGACATGTATATATAACTGAGATATCTTAAATAGTCCAGGGCGACTAGAGTGGTCTAGTCATGTGCCCAAAGAGGAGAAAAATAGTTGTGCCCTCTAATCGTGTATATCCACTGGAAAGTTAGGGTCATTCCATAAGTTTGGGTGTCCTGACTTTATGCCTGGGTAAGTAAGGTTCATTCCATAAGTTTGGGTGACCTGACCTTGTGCCTTATGTAAGCAGGGTATACGGGGTTAAGAGTACTAAAGGATCATGAACTATTTGTTGCAGGGATAAACTTGGGATGATGAGAGTACTTACCTTTGTGGTTTGGCTTGCATGCGGCCGAGTGAGGTTACTACTTGGTCTCAGTTTCAGTTTAATAGGTAGTTGCTTTAGTCGCTCGCCACGTGCCAGAGCCATAGGAGTTAGTGTCAATTCCTGCATTTTCTGAGCTAAGCGTTTTTTCCTTAGATCAATTCTCGCATTTTCTGGGATAATTTTTTGTACTTGGCTTTGTATAAATCTTGGCAAGGTACTTTTTCTACGGGAAGCGCTGCCGAAATTTCTACAAATCCAAGGAGTTAGTCAATTGTTGACTTGTTAAAGTTCAACTTGTCTTTTTTTGATATCTGACCCAGTAAAAATCAGGAAAGTTTCATTTTCTAAAGAGAGTGCTGCCCAAATTTTTGTTAATTCAGGGAGTTAGACGAATTGGACTTTGAGAAGTCAAAGTTATTCTCAAATTCTGAACTTAGCCGTGTATAAATTTCGGGATAATACTTTTCTAGAGGGAGTGCTGCCGAAATTTCTGCAAAACTAAGGAGTTACTTAAATCTTGTCTAAAGTTGAACTCAAGTTGTCTTCTAAGCTCATATCTGACTTAGTATAGATCTGAGAATTCTCCCTTTCTAAAGAGGATGCTGCCCAATTTTCTACCAATTCAGGGAGTTGATAAATTTTGACTTTCCAGAGTTAAAGTTTATTTCTGCTTTCATATATGAACTTATATAAATTCTGGAAAGGTATTTTTCCTACGGGAAGCGCTGCTGAAATTTTCTTAGTTTAAAGGAGATAGATTATATTTTGACAGGTGGCGATTTTGGCGACCCACCAGGAATAACTTGAATAGTGGAGATTCTGTAGTTGGTCTACCTTTGCTTAGGTACTTGCTTAGAGGTAGGCTTAGGCTTAGCTTATAGGGAGATTTTGAGTGAGGATGTGTTATGGAGTCATACTCTCCATACACTTATGATCTTAGATTGGGGATTGGCCTGTCGTGCGTTACAGATCCTTTTGATCGTTTGATTCAAGTTCATGACTAAATTCAGCTTGATCTCTTGAGGATCATCTTCTGCTATCACTGATAGCATGTCGGTTGCCGATTCATCGGTTTATGATTCAACTCCAATTGACCCCTGCCACTCAACCTAAAGGCTTTAACCTTGTGATTGAACTATTTTGTTGTGTTTTCACCCGGACTTTATTGAATGGCCATCCAACAAAAGTACTGAGTATTCATTTAAGAGTTGCACGAGTGAGGCTTGTATGGCTAAAGCGAGGGGTATGAGTGCAAGGAATGGTTGAAGTTGACCCCGTGTAATGCGTGGACTTTTGATTGAATCTTTGATGTGATTGCAGGTGCGTTTGTGGTTCGAAATCTGAATGTGATTGCCTGCGATTACATACATATATGGTTGAGAGGAGCCCCACTGTGACTGTGAGAAGTGATCGTCCTACACAATTAACCCTCATATATTTACGAGTACCCTGAGTATTTGAGAGACCTTCTGTATTTGTGGATAAGGGTTATCCAGATTTTGCCTTGAGAGAGAAGGGAGATTCCGTTTTTACCCTTGCTTTTTAGAGTTGTATGGTTGGACGTTATAGTCCGTGGCAGCCGTCAAAGTCAAACCCCTTGATTTTCGCCCAGGCTTGGAGTAGGACTTACCTCCAGGGCAGTAAGAAGCGACTGCCACCACAGGTATAGACCTGTTTACCACCCGCTCTGCATAGGGTGCAGAAGAGGGTGTGTGATCCTTAACCGCGCATGGCGGTTGTCCAGCATCGAGAGATTAACCCTCGCGGCGCGTGTCAACCGACACTTGAGTGTCGAATGTGATCCTCGCGATTAGCGAGGACCGCGTGAGTATGGGTACTACAGAGTATGCCATCGTTGAAACTGTCTGCGTATGCTTGCATTGCAAGTCGATATGAGTTAACCCCGTGTCCGCGCGGTTTTATACTAAGTCTCGCGTGCGGCGCCTATCCGATTTCCGCGTCGGAGAGTTATGGGATGACCACTGAAGGGACTAGGAGTGTTGTCGCGTTGTTTAATGTGCGTGTGTATGTGTATGTTTTATTTTTATGTTCGTAAAAGTGGTGTGCGCGTGGTGTGTGGGATGCGTCCTAGTCGACCGACGAAGGAGCCGCACTTGAGATTTCAGCCCCCCAAGATGAAGGTTCGCGTGCGGGTCCGATAGAAGCGTATTACCGCTCCTACCCCCTATGCTACAGCGAACGAGAAACGCCCTCTTTTGGTCCACCTCTGCGATTGCAACTGATAAGCTTTCGTACTG